GTGGGATCGATATCTCTGGAGAGGCTGCAAGTCACGAATTTGCAATCCAATGCAAGAATTGGGCCAATAAAATAGGTTTGTAGCAAAAGTACATGTATTATCAAAAAAATGAAACGCAATTAATCGTTCTTGAAACGCAATTAGGTCGTAACGTCGTGGAAAAGCTTGCAGGGGTGCTCTCCCGACGCGAAAACCATGGAAAAATTGGTATCGTGATGGCGCCCTCCGGATATTTTCCCTGAGCAAAGAAAGTCGGACGGGTGCATGGGATTATATTAACAAATGTAAAAGATCTATGCAACGATCTTTCGATTTTATAGCCGAAAAACAAAAAGAAAACGATCGATTTAAGTTAAAAAAAAATGTAGTTGTAATTTCTTTTTTTCTTTCTTGTATTTCGACTTATTATTTAATTCCTGTAATACGTTACTATTTTAAATTATTTTCTACTTTTGTATTTTTATTTTGTATTTTTTATTATTTTATCTTCATTTTCGACTGGTCCGAATCCGAATAAATATTTACTTTCTATTTGCTTTAAGCTGTGATCTTTATTCCGTTACATCCATATCCTAAATTCGATAATCAATGTACTTTTACCCATATTTTTTTTAACAAAGAATTTAATTATGAACAATAAATATCCTTATTTATTTCAGATCATATCCGTTTGAACAATCATATTTAATATTTCTTAATTAAATTTTTTTTCCTAGCAAATGAGTATTGGTTAACCATTTTTGAGTAATATCTCAACGTGATTATTTAAAAGAATAGTATTAAACTAAAATTCAAAGACATTACCTTGATGCGTCAATATTAATTGGTGATGGTCCTTTTTATTTTGTAGGGATTAAAGGTTGTTTTATAATTACGTAATATATATATTTATTATCACTTTACTTTCTCTAATATTATTAAAAATAATATAAGATTTATAGATATTATAAAAAAATTTAAAGTTTAATACCAACAGATATATTATTTACATCTGATATTTTATAAATATAATCTATGCAAAACTTATATTAATCTATACAATTTGTATAAATTTATATTAAAATGTAACCTTTGATATAATGGTTGCAACCAAATATATAAACTTATATAAATTAATACTTAAAAATTTCTAATATAAAATTATTTAAATAAATTAAACTAACAGATCTTAATAAATTTATATTTTTATAAATAAAATTTTTAATAGAAAAATATTAAAAAATAATTTTAAAAAACTTATTTATATTTAAATATTAGTGAAGTAAATAGAAAATTTTATAATTTAACAATAACTTCAAACTATTATTTAATATTATATTTATTTATCTACTTAATATTAAGTTAATGCTCATTGATTTTACTATTGCATAAAGATAAAATTTTTTAATTAAGATTACTTTAGACTTAATGATAATTTCTATTTTTTAGTTTCTATTTGATTTTGTTAATTAATATAAAATATTAATTAAAATTTCTTTATTAAAAATATATCAATATATTTATTTTAATTGTAATTTATATAGTTTTTTATATTTAAATATATTATTTATATTAATCAAATTTAAAAATTTAAATTATTAAATTACCTGCTTTTTTATTATATAAATACTACTAAATAAATTTAAGTATTATATTATTTATATAATTTATATTATAATAAGTATTTTGAATAAATTAATTCAAATTATTAATTAGAAATCATTAAAATAATATTAATTTAAATTAAAAAATTTATTTAAATCAATTGAATTATAATTTAAAAAAATTTATATTATTTATAAAACTTAAATTATAAAAATTATAAAATTTATAAAATTTATAATATTTATTAAAAATATAAATTAAAAATAATTAATAAATTTTATTACTAAATATTATAATTTTGTAAATAAAACTAAGTAAATTATTATTTAACTTGAATAATAATCCTATTTTTTAAGAATAATGCATTTTTATTATTTTTTAAAAAGAATAATATTTTTTATAAAAATAATAATCAATATTATTCAAGAATGATATTTATAATTGATAATTATAAGATAATTATTATCTTTTAAAAATAATGATTGCAATTATTCTATAAGATTTATTATTTGATAATGATAATTGCAATTATTTTATTAAAAAATGATTATTATTATTTGAGAATAATATTTTATAAAATAATTACAAATTTAAAAAGAATTTGATTCTTTCTAATTTTAGTTCAATATATTTTATAAGCTAATCAGTT